GGCATCTGGAAATTCTTTTTCTTAATGGCATAGGATTTCAAGCCCTCGTCCAATTTCAGTCGCACTCAGCAGCTGTTCGAGTGAGAAATACTCTGCACGTATATCTTCACCCTCATCATATTCTCCGCTTTATACTCGCAGTTTTTTCTGCTACAAAAATGATATGTTATTTTATGGCTTCTGCTTTGTAAGGACGTAATATTTATGATGATTTCTGTCAGTTAGATATACATTACTCCGAGTATGCACCTTTTGGGTGATTCTCCTGTTTTCCTTGTCATTCTACTTCTGTTAGCTTACAGATTCGACCTTTTGATTTTACGTTTCAGTCTTAAGGAGCTGCAGGTAAATTATAACAATGAACGGTCAAGGTACTTTCAAGTTCCTTAAACTATTTGAGAAATAGCTTTTAGTTCCCTTAACTATTTAAGAAGAGTAGAGTGCCAAAATAATCCTCTGACTATTTACATGGGGCCATTTTAGTCTCAGGGTCTATAAAAATGTGAAATTAGTCCTCAGATTTTTAAATTAGACCTGAAAACCGTTCTTTGTAGAGAGTTTGGGGATTAAATTGACACTTTTATAGAAAGATTAAAATGACCTCCTGCAAAGAGTCAGATGGCTCTTTTTTACACTTTTCTCTATTTGATAAATAGTTTTTAGCTACTGTTTATTTCTTGGTACATCTTTGGTTTTGAAACTCCCCCTTAACTACATATTGCTTAACCCTAATCTCAATGTTTAACCAATTGCAGTTAAATTTGTTAGGTTTTGTCTGTTAATTTTCTTTTATAATTCTGGTACTCTTTTTGGTTATTTTCATTTGTTGCATCATTCCTACTTTATGCTGATTCATTATTGTTATTATGCTGAAAATGATGAACTTTTGTTTTTTAGAGATTTCACGAATCCATCACTGCCTTTTGAACAACGAGGTGGATCAGCACAGTAACTTAACTTCACTTTAATAGTTTGGTAATTGTTCATACTCAGTTCTTGCGCTAATTGCTAATGCTGTCTGTTTACCACCCAATTCCTATGTATTTACATATCTAACACATAAACTTTACTTTGTATATTTAAAACACCCGAAATTTTCATATCACATAAAAAATACCAATATGTTAACTTAAGAAAAGTGAAATACACCTTTTTATGCATAGGTGAGAGGTGTCAGATTTGTAAAAATTGAAGTCTAGGTGTTATATATGCAAATCCATAGGATTTGAGTGTTATGTCTGTAAATCTTCTCTTCATATTTGGTATAGATTCAAATGGCTGTGGGTTTGTTGAAGTACTTGATGATTGAAGAGCTAAATAATTTGCATACATAAATGTGATAGATGTACCTATTTAAAAGATATAATTAAAATTTTCCTGAATTTAAATGGTTCTACACCAAAATCTTACTTCCATCCATAAACCAGTTGGTTCGATTTATGGATTTGCTAAATCGATTGAATCAAACAGATTTATAAGCAAAAACTTAACTGTACTGTAATTCGGTTTAGTTCTGGCTTAAGCGAATTTTGAAAAAAAAAAGAAATAAAAGATTCGGTTTTGATAATGCAAAGCTCATATTATGTACTTCTTCATCAACAGTAATTTGCGATATTAGACGCTTATTTTTCTTGTAATTAATGTCAGTCTGGATATGGTGAAGCTATTGGCATATATGCACTTCATCCAGCTGCATCCAGAGCAGGTTTTTGCATAATCCTATTTTTTATTTCATATCTCTTTGCCTTATTTGTTAATATGCTAATTTTTTCTCTTTTCTCTGCCTTACTATTTTTTGAGTTGCATTTGTTCATGTGAGTTTCTCTTCTTCGCATTCATACAAACAATCCGAGTTCTCACAATTTTTTTTTATTTTGCTAATAAATTTTTCCCAAAGTTTTTTCAATGTTTAGGGTTTAATTTTTGATTAATTTGAGTTTGTTGATCCGTCGCCTCCGAATTGTATCACGTTCTTGAGGTGGTGTGCATTCCTTTCTACCCTTCCCCACCCTCTCCTGCATTGATTCCCTTGAACGTTGTCGCTTTCCAGCTTGCTGCCACCTTACCAAATCACTTCGCATGATGTTGAACACCGCCACAGGAATGTGATACATTTGTGGTTGATTTTAGCATTCCTTCATTATTCATTCCATCTAGAAGCTGCATGAGGATTTTTTGTGGTGATTTATTATATCAAGTGTAGGGGGTGGGACTATTTTGACAATTTTCTCATTTCTTATGATTAGATGAGCAATGCTGCGGCAATCACAGCCGCATTCGGCGGTGGTTAGTGGTCCCAATGACCGGCGTACGATCATTGCCTCTAACTTAAACATTGATGTAAGTTTGACTCATTCTGTGGGAATTTGTTCTTCCTTTGTTCCACTTCAAATTTCTTGTAGTTGAAATATTTCCATTGGACCTTTTTTTTTTTGGCAGGAAATTGATAAGCTTCTCAATTTGTTTTCTTTGTATGGCAATATTGTCAGGATCAAATTTCTTCCCAATAAACTTGATCATGCTCTCATTGAGATGGAAGATGGGTTTCAAGCTGAATTAGCTCTGCACTTTCTGAAGGTTCGACATTTTCTACCTTATCCATACTATTTGCATAGCGGTTGTGTTGGAACAAGTTGTTTCTTGCTAATTTGAATCATTTTAATATAGGTTGATATATGTATTTACATATCTAACATCTAAACTTTGTTTTTTTTTACATTTATGGCACCGAGATCTTTCATATCACGTCAAAAATATCACCATTTTAACTTTTACAAAGTGAAACACACCTTTTTATGCGTATGTAAGATGGTATGCGTGTAAAAATTGAAATTTAGGTGTTAGATATGTAAATACATAGGAATTGAGTGGTAGAGATCTTTCATATCACGTCAATAACCTCCGCAGCTCCACTCCATTATTTTTTCAAGTGAGCCCAATATAACACACATGACTATATTATTGGAGTCCGCATGTAGAACCACGTTCGGGGTTTTGACCGAAAATTTTTTGGGCTAATAGAACATTTTTTTCCTAATTTAAAAAATATTAACTTGTTTTTTATTTTTATTGCATTTTTTCACTCATGTATGAAATTTGTATTTAAGATTACATATGTAAAATTGATATAGATAGGAAAAATTATGCATAATTTATTAATTGAAGGATATGTATAAATGCCTTGTGCTCATAAAATCGATTTTTATTTTTCATTATGAAATTTATTGCTAATAAATGTTTTCTTTCAACTATTAAATTTATGTATTTTATTAAATTATTAGGTGTTTGTTAAGTAATAATTTATTGTAAATATTAATATTTTACAAAATAAAATTTTTGATTTTATAAATAACTAAAATTTAGATGATATATATGAAATTGCCTAAGATGTCAATTCGGGTTAGCGGGCCAGATTTGGATAGACCCAAAAATAATTTGACGCAAATTGGGTCAACTTAAATACTAGCCGAATAATAAACGGGTCGAATTTTCTAATCCGAATTTCACTCATAAAATATTTGGGTCAACTTTAACTCAGATTTTTTTAGTAGAGTTCGAGTCGTGTTCGCATATCGGTTCAATTTCAATTCGGGTTGGTGGGTTGGGTTGTGATTTGACCCAAAAATAACCCAATTTAAATCGGGTCAACCCAAATAGGATATCAAATTTCTTAACCCAAATCAATTTTGAAAATATTCAACACAAATTTAGAACCAGCGACAAATTTTGACACCCTAAATTGCACCTCATGGTGGTGAATTGAAGGAGTGTAGCGAAAAATTACGTCAGACTAGCAATGATGCTTTATCAGCACTCGTGGACTCCCACCACTCCACTCCTCTGCACCCGAAACATAACCAACTGGCCGGCGATTGCCTCCGCCGGCGGCGGTACTCCTCTAAAATTTGCCCTCCTCTCCGCTCCTATCCGACGCTTTCCCTTTGCTTCAGCATCTTTCAATCCCAACGAATCTGGGACAGTAGAGAGCTCTACCTTCGACCGCGTAGCGTACGAAGCCGAGCGGCTACGGTTAGACGCAGCTGCTCGTGACTCAATGGCGGCGATGGCGTCGGCTTCAGAGGGAAGTGAAGACGCTGGATTGTGGAAATGGAGGATTCGTAAGAGGATATGGGATCTAATGGAGGCGGAGGACATAGCGCGGAACCCTCGTCCTGTGCATCATCGCATCCCGAACTTCGTTGGCGCGCCTAAAGCCGCAGAATCGGTTCGTCTTATATTTTAAACTGTCTGATTGTTTTCTTTGTGTTCGGTTATTCGTTTTCTTTACGTTTTTCAAGTTTTCGATTCTTCCGCTACTGCTGCTAATATTGTGGTTATAACGTGGTGATTAAGTTAGGGCGTCTTGAAGTATTTCAGAAGGCAGAATGTGTGAAAGTCAATCCAGATTCGCCTCAAAAGCAGGTCCGATTCTTAACTCTCATAGGTTAGTATTTTAACTTTTTAGCTTTGTCAGGCTTATATTAGTCTGTTCTGTTTCTTTTTATTTTTCTTTTTTGCTGATGCACGAGTTGTATATAAACTCGTGGTTGTTATCTTCTTATGTTCTGGCAGTCAATAAGATTTGATTTGGATTTAGCATATGGGACACTTGTCTTTCAGTCCTCTTAATTTACCACAGCTACCTAGCAAAATGAAGAAACTTGTGCAAGAAAATTAAATTTAGAGATGAATTGGTTTTAATTGTTCAAGGGAAAGAAATATGATGCTGCAAGTCCATATAGGAAGATTTTTTTTAGTCCATATAATTGTCTTTCAGTTGCAAGTTAAGCATGCAAAGTAATGGCATGATGGACTTGTTCAACTATATTGATTTAGAATAACTTTGTGCATGACATAGCTAGAGAATTATCGAGGTAAAATGCCCTCTGTCTTCATCCATGTGGTGCCAGATAATCTTTTCATTGATTTATGGTCTCCAAGATTTTTGAGTTTGTAGCCACAAATGCCAATAAATCAGATCCAACTCACATATTACTAATAGTTTATTATTCTTATGAATAAGGAAACGCTTCACACTTGCTTCAAACTGAGTATTACCCTCTATCTTTTTTTTTTTTGTTTCCTCAATTCATGATTCTTAGGTGGTGCAAAACTACGAATAGGTGGCATCCTCTAGTTTTTTTCCCTCCCCACCTTTTTGAGAAATCAGTTCCTATTTGTATGAGGTGGGTTGTTAGTCTAGTTCCTTTTCTATGGTGTGTCATTGTTGTTTGATTGGAATGTGTTGATATTAAATTTGATTGATCTTTTTGTGGCTAGAATGCTTCGTGTCAACTTTTCTTTGTCGGAGTGATGTCCGGGCACATTGAATTGGAAGTATAGAGCACCAACTCCACTTTAAAAATTGGCTATCTAGGCTAGGTTGCTAACGGCTAATTGCAGCGAGAGCTTCTTTGTAGCCCACAATTCTTGCACAAATAGCCAATTAACAATTTCAATGCATTGTGAGAAGGCATTCTTAGAGTTGAAGGAGAATCTAACATCCTCATTTTCGCGGACCAATCCTTAGCTAGGGGAACTGCTACAATTATACCCAAGGGCGAGCAACTTGGTAAGCAGCTCGGTCCTTGTAAGATAAGTGGCAGGGAAAGCAACTATTTATCTTTTATACCAACAAAGATTTGGAGGTAAATTGAACTATCGTCATGGAAAAGTTAAAATTTGATATTGATTTTCACAATTGGAAGCATTAGTTGTATTAAAGATGCAGCTTATTAATTTTAGGCCACATATGATACAATGTTGGTCATATTTAATGTTCTTAGTTTTTCCCTCAATCTTGACGTAAAGTGGTCGATGGCATTCGAGGGCTCTTAAGTCATTATAGATCACAGTCCAAGGAGGTTTGGAAGAAAAAAAAAAAAGTTATCTTGTCGTAGTACTTGTTAATGTTGCAAGCATTGGTTACAATTCTTGAAAATTTTCAAGTAATTCTTGTCTTGTGAGGAAAACAAGCTAGTGGATCTCTTATTTAACATTGAACAAGCTAAAGATGTTATTTTAGGCAGGAAATTTATCTCCCCCAAATTAACAAGGAGCAGGGTCGACACCTCCCCAGGAGATTATAATTTGAATCTCCTTATTGTATGCCAACTTACCATGCAAAGAACATTGCTATCTTGGTTTCTAGCTTGGGGTATTTCCATGAAGTTTTTTATTTTAGAAGAGTCTATTTTGACACATCTATGATGCAAAAAATACCTTAAATTTTATAGATGATGCAGGAAAAGCACATTTTAAAATTTTAATCTAAATTGAACTTTCAAAACTGTCCAAAAACGAACTTTAGAACATTTACATGCTCATGCTGTGTTCAACTTATTATTGCATAATCATAAATGTAGCACCATGTTTATGTATGAGATTTTTTAAGATATGGGTGTGGGTGGTTCCAACATTTTTCAGCCAAATTGTATCATTGGTACGGTAAATATTGATTGGAGTTTGAAAATATTCGCAATTCTCATCTACTATCTCCATCTTCATATTGATGTAACATTTTGATCCATGCATGATCGAAACTTATAGTGGACCGGGTTCTTGCCGACCATGATTTTTCAGTATGCGCATGGGGAAATCATTTTTTGGGCATGCTTTATTTGGGCAATCAGACCTTCCTTCTTTAGCAGTACAATGTTTGCTATCAGGTATGCTTATTTTTCCTTCCAGATGAAAGTAACTTGTTGAGCTGGCAATCAACCTGGATCTCTAATCTTTTTTATCCTTAAATATTTTTTAACAAGTCTCATTTCATGATTGATGGTAATCTTAAATACTATTAACATCGATCTAGGGCTACTAGACATTGTGGGAAGGTTAGGAGATATGTTAGGAGCATTGTGGAATGAGAAACGTGAGGGGAGATGATGATGGTGGTTCAGGAATTGCGTAGAATTGTGGCTGGATGGCAAATTACACGCCAAAACAGCAGTTCGGTAGCACAATAGCCAGAGCAAAATGTTGTCGGACATCTGGGATAGATCATCTTTTTGAACCATCATGTTACAAACACACCAACTAAGAAAGATCTAAGGATGCGTCATTCTAGTCAGAATAAGCTAGAGGAAATAGTTTCTATTGCATAAATCAAAGCCAAAAAATTTCAACCATGTTCTAAAACAACTTACTTATACTAAGGTGGGTAACCCGTCAAGTACTTATTAGAATGTATTGATAGGAGAAATGGGGAGATTCATCCTCATTTGGCTATTGAACTCCACATCATACTTTTCTTCAAAATGTTGCCAGCATTTCAAGCTGAGGTTCAACTTCGTTTTCATCGTGTCTATAGTCTTGTGCTTGTTTATGATGATTATGGAATTTAAAGATGCAGGAAGTTTATTTTTTCAGTTTACTATTACATGTTGATTTTAATTTAAGCATGGAAATTAATAAAAAGATTGATTTATTTAACTAGCCTTTGCTGTAGAGTTTCTGATACATAGAATTGATTTTAGTTTTTGCAGTTTGAGAATTTTACTTTTAGTTCTAGTTGGCCTAAACTTCTTAATTCTTATTTAGGAGCATAGTAAGCTTCATTTTGTACTTTCTTGTAGATGACCAATTTGGAATGATTTAGTCCTTTTTCTTCCACCATAGTGAATACATCAAATTTTTAATTGAATTTATTGTGTGCGACTCAAATTTCATCAGCACCATAGCCACTAACATATTCAACTTTCATAATAGTTCTTTTGGGCCATTTAAATGCATACCTCCAAATTTTTATGTATCTACATATCTAACACCCATACCTTTATTTATTACATTTATGCTACTCAAATTTTTCGTATCACATAAAAAACACCATTGTTTTAACTTTTATAAAGTGAAATACACCTTTTCATGTTTAGGTGTGGTAGCATACATGTAAAAATTGAAGTTTAGGCGTTAGATATGTAAATACTCGGGAATTGAGTGTTATGTATGTAAATCTTCTTAATTTTTTCTTCCCAGGATCAAGGAAGCACTTCTTACTTGCATCAACCTGTGCATTAAATTTACACCACCAAAATATTTCGTATCACATCTATAATATCACTATTTTAACTTTTAAAAAGTGAAATACACCTTCTCATGCATAGATAAAGTGGTATGCTTGTATATTAAAATTGAAGTTTAGGTGCTAGATATATAAATACATGGGAATTGAGTGGTATGTATATAAATGATTCTGCTTTGATCTTTTAGATGGAAAGAAGTTGCTGACCCCTCAACCACGTCTAAGAACCGGATTCTTTTCGGTGTTAGAATCTCAGATGATTCCGATCGGATCCATAATGGAGGCATGCTCTTCATTTGGCTTTGCAAAATATGGGAAACCTATTGGTTTGGATGAGAAAATTAAAGTAGATCTGTTGGTTATTGGATCCGTCGCTGTTGATCCGCGCACTGGAGCTCGACTTGGGAAGGGCGAGGTAGTATTTCTTGCCTCATTCTATTACACTTCAAATATGCTACTAAATATAACATGGGGCATTTACATACATACCACACAATTCTTATATGTTTACATATTTATGACCTATACTTTTCTTTTTACATGCATAACACTCAAATCTTTTAATATCACATTAATAATATCGCATTAAAAAAATTTACTCTTTCTAACTTTATAGAAGTGAAATACACCTTTTAATGCATAGTTTTTTAACACCGAAGCATTCTAATGTAAACATCAAATTTTAGGTTTTAGATATGTAAATACATAAGAATTGTGAGCTATGCATGTAAAATTCCTTTTTAACATAACATCAAATCTAGAAATGTTCTTTCCGAAGGTGAATTTATTTGATTCATGTGGGGTTCCTGTGAGTTGCATGATTTGAAAAATGTTTTATGTCATGGACATCTTTATTGAAGTATTTGCACAGGTTGGATTCAGATATTTCTAGTCACCCATCTGGCAATTTGAATATAATTATTTTGATTATAAATTAATAGT